CGAATCTCGGACCAAAAGCTGCGCCGACCTACTTCATGCTTTGACGAACAAACGGAACACAAGCTTGCAGTTGAAACTCGCAAAAATCATGCAGTTTTACGAAAAGCTAGGTGCAAAACATCGAATGACTGCCACACACTGACATCCCCAGCTCAGAGGCTAAAGCCTTCAATGCATTGATCCCAAGTTTGCGCACCTGGCGCAAAATCATGCAGTTTTACGAAAAGCTAGGTGCAAAACATCGAATGACTGCCACACACTGACATCCCCAGCTCAGAAGCTAAAGCCTTCAATGCATTGATCCCAAGTTTGCGCAGCTGGCGCAAAATCATGCAGTTTTACCAAAAGCTAGCTGCAAAACATCGAATGACTGCCACACACTGACATCCCCAGCTCAGAAGCTAAAGCCTTCAATGCATTGATCCCAAGTATGTGCCACCTGGCGCAATATCATGCGGTTTTACCAAAAGCTAGCTGCAAACCATCGAATGACTGCCACACACTGACATCCTCAGCTCAGAAGCTAAAGCCTTCAATGCATTGATCCCAAGTTTGCCACCTGGCGCAATATCATGCGGTTTTACCAAAAGCTAGCTGCAAACCATCGAATGACTGCCACACACTGACATCCCCAGCTCAGAAGCTAAAGCCTTCAATGCATTGATCCCAAGTTTGCGCACCTGGCGCCGGAAGCAATCAACTCCTCCCTCTGTCAAGCCTTGTTGCAACTCTCGGATCTTCTCTGACAACTTCTAGAGGCCAAGCACGATAAGAATCTCGAACCAAAAGCTGCGCCGACCAGCTTCATGCTTTGACGAACAAACGGAACACAAGCTTGCAGTTGCAACTCGCAAAAATCATGCGGTTTTACCACAAGCTAGCTGCAAAACATCGAATGACTACCACACACTGACATCCCCAGCTCAGAAGCTAAAGCCTTCAATGCATTGATCCCAAGTTTGCGCACCTGGCGCAAAATCATGCGGTTTCACCAAAAAGCTAGCTGCAAACCATCGAATGACTGCCACACACTGACATCCCCAGCTCAGAAGCTAAAGCCTTCAATGCATTGATCCCAAGTTTGCGCACCTGGCGCAAAATCATGCGGTTTCACCAAAAAGCTAGCTGCAAACCATCGAATGACTGCCACACACTGACATCCCCAGCTCAGAAGCTAAAGGCTTCAATGCATTGATCCCAAGTTTGCGCACCTGGCGCAAAATCATGCGGTGTTACCAAAAGCTAGCTGCAAAACATCGAATGACTGCCACACACTGACATCCCCAGCTCAGAAACTAAAGCCTTCAATGCATTGATCCCAAGTTTGCGCACCTGGCGCAAAATCATGCGGTGCAAAACATCGAATGAATGCCACACAGTGACATCCCCATCTCAGAAGCTAAAGCCGTCAATGCATTGATCCCAAGTTTGCGCACCTGGCGCCGGAAGGGATCAACTCCTCCCTCTGTCAAGCCTTGTTGCAACTCTCGGACCTTCTCGGACATATCCGGTTGCAGCGAACCCAGAGTGACAACTTATAGACGCCAAGCGCGATACAAATCTCGAACCAATAGCTGCGCCGACCAGCTTCATGCTTTCACGAACAAACGGAACACAAGCTTGCAGTTGAAACTCGCAAAATCATGCGGTTTTACCAAAAGCTAGCTGCAAAACATCGAATGACTGCCACACGGCAACATGCAGCAGGCCTCCAAAATCTCCAAAGACGAGCACCACGGCCACCAAAAGAAGCTCTGGAAATGCTTACAGTCATGTTTGCTCGGCCAGTTCAGGGGGGAGCAGGGTCTTCTCTTGTTAGTATGGAGACGCAATATTAGAAACGATATATGAAAGCTCTGTTATAGGCAGTCGAGAAGAGGAGTATCAAGACAGGACAGTGAGAAGTGCAAGACAGTAGTTTGCATCGCAAACACTTTTACAAACAGACGCTTTTTACACACAGACGCTTTTAAACACAAAGCTTTTACACACAGAGGCTTTTACACAAACACTGTAACACAAACACTTTTACACACAGAAGCTTTTACATACAAACACTTTTACGCACAGACGCTTTTACACACAAACGCTTTGACACACAGACGCTTTTACACACAGACGCTTTTTACACACAGACGCTTTTTACACACAGACGCTGTCACACACAAACACATGTACACACAGAGGCTTTTACACAAACACTTTTACACAAACACTTTTACACACAGAAGCTTTTACATACAAACACTTTTACACACAGACGCTTTTACACACAAACGCTTTGACACACAGACGCTTTTACACACAGACAACCTCTACACACAGACGCTTTTTACACGCAAACGCTTTCACACACAAACACATTTACACACAGAGGCTTTTACACAGAAACACTTGAACACAAACACTTTTACACACAAACACTTTTACACACAGACGCTTTTACACACAGACACTTTGACACACAGACGCTTTTACACACAGATGCTTTTACACACAGAGACTTTTACACACAGACGCTTTTTACACACAGGCGCTTTTACACACAGACAAGAACGGCACAAGTAAAATCGCACTTTTACCTCAGTTTTTGCCGATCGACCCTCATTTCGCGCGAAAGGGTTGCTCCAGGACAAGTAAAATCACAATTTTCCCTCAGTTTTTGCCGATCGACCTTCATTTCGTGCGAAAGGGTTGCTCCGGCACAAGTAAAATCGCACTTTTACCTCAGTTTTTGCCGATCGACCCTCATTTCGTGCCAAAGGGTTGCTCCGGGACAACTAAAATCGCAGTTTTACCTCAGTTTTTGCCGATCGACCCTCATTTCGTGCGAAAGGGTTGCTCCGGCACAAGTAAAATCGCACTTTTACCTCAGTTTTTGCCGATCGACCCTCATTTCGTGCGAAAGGGTTGCTCCAGGACAAGTCAAATCGCAGTTTTACCTCAGTTTTTGCCGATCGACCCTCATTTCGTGCGAAAGGGTTGCTCTGGGACAAGTCAAATCGCAATTTTACCTCAGTTTTTGCCGATCGACCCTCATTTCGTGCGAAAGGGTTGACGTTTCGTGACTCGCCGCCGGCACCACCCTCGGCCTTAAGAGAGAAAGATAAAAAGAAGGCATGAGAGAGAAGGTGAGCAGGTGTGAAGAAGGTGAGCAGGTGTGAAGATAAGAAGATGTGAAGATGAGCAGATGTGAACATGAGCAGATGTGAAGATGAGCAGATGTGAAGATGAGCAGATGTGAAGATGAGCAGGTGTGAAGATGAGCAGGTGTGAAGATGAGCAGATGTGAAGATGAGCAGATGTGAAGATGAGCAGATGTGAAGATGAGCAGATGTGAAGATGAGCAGATGTGAAGATGAGCAGATGTGAAGATGAGCAGATGTGAAGATGAGCAGATGTGAAGATGAGAAGATGTGAAGATAAGAAGATGTGAAGATGAGCAGATGTGAAGATGAGCAGATGTGAAGATGAGCAGATGTGATGAGGTGTGAAGATGAGCAGATGTGAAGATGGGAAGGTGTGAAGATGAGCAGATGTGAAGATGAGAGGATGTGAAGATGAGAGGATGTGAAGATGAGCAGATGTGAAGATGAGAGGATGTGAAGATGAGATGTGAAGATGAGAAGATGTTTTACAGACCCCCACTATTGTTTGAACCCTGCGCTCAGACGCTCTCGGGAAAAAAGGGGTCAAGGAATTCTTTTTGGATACGGTATTTTAGAGCGAAGGCCGGCAAATATTTAATGTGTTTCTTCTTTTATAGCATTCTATAGCAACAAAATACGGTGGCTTTCTCATGTAACTTTTGTAGCATGGCCACATTCCAAGTCAGCAGTTCGTAGAAATCCAAGTTCGTCAGCAATTCCAAGTCAGCAGTTCGTATAGAGGGCTGCAGTGCCAAGAGAGGCCTCTCGCTGATCTAAAATGACATGCCCAATAAAATCGATATAAAGAGATCCTGGAAAAGCATTGGTTCCATTCTGCAATAGAATGCTCCAAACACTCAATTTTTTGCAGAAAAATAGAATGGATTTTTACCATGTTAAAAATCATCGGGATTTCCCTGGCCAATAAAATGCTCAGACCAAACCCCTTATATAACAAAAAAACCTGACTCCAATTTTGAAGTTCCAATACATTACGGATCTCGCTTCGACTAATGCACAAGTCACCCATTTCTAGTGTGGAAAATGCCACGGGGATCAAACTCTAAAGTCTAGAGTGGGGAGTGTAAAGTGTAGAGTGCGGAGTGTCAAGTGTAAAGCGTGAAGTGTACAATTTAGAGTGTGAAATGTACAGTGTGGAGTGTCATGCGTAAAGTGTGAAAAGTGAAGTGTAAGTTGCAAAGGGCGGAGTGTAAAGTGCAAAGTGTAGAGTGATGTAATGTGTAAAGTGTAGAGCGTGGAGTGTGGGGTGTAAAATTTAGAGTGTAGAATGTGGAGCGTAATTAAAGTGTAGAGTGTGGAGTGTAAAGTGCAAAGTGTAGAGTGCCAAATGTAAATATCTTTCAAATGCAAAGATGCAGAGGATGCCGATGCTGCCGATTTTGCTGACGGCTGACGGGGCCCCCAGAGGACCAAACTGCCTGTGAACCAGCCAGGGGGCGGGGGGGGGGTATTTAGTGAGAAATTTCTCGCGGTTGGAGATTCCAGCCCCCCCATACCTTGCTAAAGCAAAAAGGACTTCAGCTAGCAGAAGCTAGCTTGCGTGCATATGCGTCCCATCTTTTCACCCAATGTTCAGAGACACATGCAATGCACGCACACACAAATCATCTTAACTTCGTTCATATACTAACTTGCATCCATGTTTCAAGCACGACCCGAAAATCATTTTACATTGGGAAAGCATTTGAACGATATATATATATATACTTACATATATATATATGTATGGAACGATCATAAATTATGATGCATTCTGCGTCCCCCTGATGCATTTTCAGCATTAGTATCCGTGAAATCACCCCGTCCCGGGCCCGGGGTGTCCGGGGTCGCCTCGGGTGACCAGGGCTTCAACTTCAACTCCTCTTCCATGTGCAGGTGCCTTGGAGAGGCTGGCACGGTGGAAGATCCAAGAATTGGAGATTTGCTGGGCAAATGTGATTTAAAACATGTTAAACATAATATACAATAATAGATCATCGAAGGAAGTTTAGAAGTCAAACGTCCGACAATGTGGACAGATGGACAAGATGGAAAAGCAGAGGTGGGAAGAGTCAGAGAAGAGAAGGTTTCAGAAGAGAAGAAGTCATAAGAAGGAAGATCAAAGAAGGAAGAAGAAAGAAGTCGAGAAACACTGTGTTTTTTCCAATGTTTTGCGTCTCCGGAGGGTCGAAAAGTAGGCTCGCAAAAGCGGCGGGTGCGGAGGCATCTGATCGGATAAGAAATCAAAAATTGCATGCCGCTGTGGCGCGAAACGTATTTCCAAGTCAAAATATCATCCTTGCCATTCCCTGGGTGGGGTCAACGTGGTCCATTTTGTAGAGAGCCCGCCTGTCTACAAAATGGCCTTTGGACCAAGTCGCCAGCCTACAAGCTGGTATGGCCATAGACCCTGGGCACTTCATGGCCTACAAAATGGTAGTGCCTGTCAACTGTCTTGGACCTTTTGAATCCACAACCAGATTGACATTTTAAATTTTAATCCAATGATCATCAAACATGATCAAACATGTACATTCATGCTCTTATGGAAATTGCAAAATAAAGGGCCGTTTTGTAGAGCTTCAACCTCGCCAGGAACACAGCTCAAACTGCCTTTTTCCCGCTGCCATTTTGGAGAACAAAACCCTGTCAATCGGATGGCTACCTGGTTTTTGCTCGTCAATGGCGAACTGACAGTATCTTTAAAAAACAAAAGGTGCTCTGACAAACCTCTACAAGATAGTTTTGTCTCTTACAGAGTGGTTGGGTTTGGGTGCCAGACATGGTTTTCCGTATGTTAGAACTATGCCTTCAAAAAAAAAGCAATACCAGCTAAAACACACTAACTGCCAACTGCTACAACATGGCAGGTTCGACCCCATTTTTCATACCCATTTGCCATTTGCCACAGAATGGCCACTTTATGGGCAAGTCAACCTGTACCATTCTGTGGTGCAAATTGCAACGGGGATGTCAAAAAAATGTTAAAAACACTTCGGTTTCAGAGCACTTTGGGATGTTGAGATGTTGAAAAAGTATAGGTGGCTGTAGCATGAAGCACATTTCGAAGTCAAAATGCTAAAATCACACCATGCCCGGAACACTTTTGGAAGTTGAGTTGCTCAAACATATTGCACGCCGTTATGGCGCGAAGCACGTTCGCAAGTCAAAAGTGTTCAAAACTGACGGTCTCGGGACCAATTTGAACTTCACAGGTCGAAAAAGTGCACGCCGTGGTGGCACGAAGGACATTTGCAAGTCAAAAGTATTCAAAACTGACGGTCTCGGACCACTTATTGAACTCCAGATGTCGGAAAAGTGCACGCCTCTGCGGCGCAAAGCACATAAGTATTGAAAACTGAAGGTTTCAGAGCATTTTCTGAAGTCGGAGAAAGGAATGATCAATGTTACATGATGTTACCACATGGAGCCTACATAGATAGATAGATGGATGGATGGATAGATAGATAGATAGATGGATAGATAGATAGATAGAGAGAGAGAGAGAGAAAGAGATAGAGAGATAGAGAGATAGAGAGATAGAGAGATAGATAGATAGAGAGAGAGATAGATAGATAGATAGATAGATAGATAAGATAAGATAAGATAAGAAAAGAAAAGATAAGATAAGATAAGATAGATAGATAGATAGATAGGCAAATAGGTAGATAGGTAGATAGGTAGATAGCTAGATAGGTAGATAGGTAGATAGGTAGGTAGATAGGTAGATAGGTAGATAGGTAGATAAATAGGTAGATAGGTAGACAGATAGATAGATGGGCAGGCAGGCAGATAGATAGATAGATAGATAGATAGATAGATAGATAGATAGATAGATAGGTAGACAAATACATAGATTATAGATACGTGGATAGTCAAATGGAAACATAGATGGACAAATAGACACAAATGGACAGGCAAATAGGTAGACAAATAGATAGATAAATAAAAAAATAGAAGGGAAGGAAGGAAACATGGAGCGATAAAAAAAACAAAAAACAGAACCTCACACACCTCTCAATCCATCAGTGGATTCGCTCTGCCATCCATGCATCACAACAACTCACCTCTCCTATAGTTTCTGATCTTTGAAACTTCCGCCACCGCCTTGTGGTGTACTACTGGTAACACAAAAGTGGCATACTTAAGACACTTGCAGTAAGTAAAACATGATCAGGAAAATCTGAAGTATCACGCGTGTTAGGCAGGCATTTGAGCTATCAAGGAATTAAACTATCCCACAAGTGGAAAGGCAACATCTGTGTTCTGTCACAGCTGATTTTTCCCCTTTGAGGCAAGTTTGCGGTATGCGTTAGGCGGCATTCCGAATGCAGTCGAAACCATTGGAAACAACGTCACTGCAGGGCACTTCTGGCTGCAGCAACCTTGAAAGCCAACCAAGCAAACGGTCTGGCACGATTGGCAAATTCTCTTTTTTTCACGAATGTGCCCAAGCAATCCCAAGCAATATACCAGCAACAAAAAATCTTGCATCCAATGCGAGGCAGCGCCAATCTTTCGCTATCATGGTGTCACTCCTTATGGCAGCTTCTTATGGGCGTTTGTTGGGCACTCTGTTCCTAAAGGACTTGGCTCCTCGGGGCACGTTGTTGGGCCCCAGGTCAGCTCTGACTAGCAACTTTGGCGCTGGATCTAGCGACTGACAGGTTGGAAATTCAAGGGCTTCTGCGGGCAGCTTTTTGTTTGGTTGTGCAATCTGTCCCAACATGATATGAGTAGTGAGACTGGACTCATCATCATCCCGTTCTTCCCGAAGAAGAGAGCAACTCACAAAGGGATTGGCACACATTTATGAGCACCAAAGCGGAAGTGAATCTGATCGTTTCATGTTTTCTACCCGTCAATGTTAGAACCATGCACAGCTATTCGAATTCATTCTTTTTGCACATGGTGAATTTCAGGACACTGCTCTAACAGCCAAACAAGTGCCAGGTTGCGAACAGCAGCCTCAGCTGCCCTGACATTCACCATTCCTTGTCACTGCATCTTTTCGGAAACGGCTCACTTCACAGGCCTCAGAGAAAGATGCCTTGCTCATTAAAACTTGGAGCAAAGAGGATCGCGCACGGATGTGCATGGGCTCGGCTCATTCCGCCTCTGACTTGAGCCCACGATAAATCGGCCCCAGGATCCTCAGGGTCGTGTCCCTATCATGATAATTTTGCAAACTGTGCCAGCTGCTTCACTTGGTAGTCGAACCATTGCCCTGCTTCGGGTGCACGGGGCTCCCCATAGTGGCTACCAATGCTGTCCTGAGAGGCACAGTCCTCATCAAAACGGGGACATGTGCCACCGTCAGGCAAGGTTTCTGTGCAACCATCGGACTCACCTGGAGTCTTCAGCCAAAAGTAGGCATCCACCACGTCGGGGACGTCTGTGGCCGTTGATGCCACATGACCGACGCCAGCATCGCGAATGTTGCACCAATTCTTGCACTCACTCCTCATGCAGTAAAACACAAAACCGATCAGATCCAAAACTAGAACTGAGGCATCCAAAAAAAATGAAAACTACAGAATCCTTACAGTACTTCAATATTGACACTGACGCACAAAATTACAGCACATACACAAGCAAAAAGGCAGTCCTCATGCCAGCAACCCCGTTGCGGCCGGTGTCAATGATCATGTGGGGGACAAAGCCATTAATGCCTTTTGACATGGCCTCCCGCAAGTGAAGGGCATAGTTGAGCTCATTCTGCGAGGGGTTCCATTTGCTGATCAGTCCACACGGATCCGCACAGCATTCATCATAGTTGTGCTGGCCACCCAAGCAGTAGTCATAAGTACCACAGGCTTTACCCAAATGCTGGTAGCCTGCCACATTGGATGCAAAACCACGGATATGGTCTGTGACATCAAGAGACCGAATCATTCTCACGAAGTCTTTCATATTGTTTTTCCATCCTAGCCATCCACCGTGACCAGCATCCAAATAGATGGCAGCATATGGGTCAGCGGCTTTCAAGGCTTTCACAGCATAGCTCACACCTCCCTTGTAAGCACTCTTTGTTGCCGAATTGCCACACCTAGGGTCACCCTGATTGGTAGAAAGGTTTGGCAAAGAGTCAGGCTCGATCACAAGCACAATGGGGACACGACCGGAGTATTTGGCAAGCACCGCAGCAATCTGATCAATGTACTCCTCCTTGTACTCTTTCAAACCTGCTGAGCACTGCCCGTCAGAGACATCTGTGTAGTCACACCTGCCATCCGCCTTGTACTTGCAGCAAATCTCGCCATTGGATGCTTTTGCATGACAATCGCGGTTGGGCAGGTCATACACAATGAAAACCACGAGTTCTGGGACAGGCTTGTTCAACGCATCCTCCAAAATGCCCTCCATGGAATCCGTCGTGCTGCCTGTGATCTTGGTCTTCCGGTCCAACCAATATGCTGAGGGGACATCCATCATTGCCTGCAAATTGGCCAGAATCTCCCCGTCGGCAGTGGCAATGCTGGTGCTCAAGGATTCTTTGTAGGAGGGGTTCACATAAAATGCCTTGTCTGCAAAAGGGTTGCCAGTACTGGGGATTGGGTTCCCACTGGTGGTGGAAACTTCTGTGGTAGAACCATCCGTTGATCCTGTGGTGGTGTCTTCTGCCGTAGTGGTCTCTCCCGGTTCGGTCGTGGTGGTTGATTCTTCAAATTGAAGATTGGCAAACTGAGCCAGTTGCTTCACTTGGTAGTCGAACCATTGCCCTGCTTCCGGTGCACGCGGCTCCCCATAGTGGCTACCAATGCTGTCCTGAGAGGCACAGTCCTCATCAAAACGGGGACATGTGCCACCGTCAGGCAAGGTTTCTGTGCAACCATCGGACTCACCTGGAGTCTTCAGCCAAAAGTAGGCATCCACCACGTCGGGGACGTCTGTGGCCGTTGATGCCACATGACCGACGCCAGCATTGCGAATGTTGCACCAATTCTTGCACTCGCTCCTGCATTGCACAGGACACTGCTTCCGCAGGGAAAAGACATATTCAAGGCTTCAAGGTCTTAATAGATTCTCATGAATCACAACCAGTGCAGGTTTAGAGTTTGGAGCAAAGGATACCCAGCCTAGTTACGGTGCAAACTGAGCAATGTAAGATAATGTATGATAATGTAAGAGAGTACCGGTAAAACATAGTATATTGCATATATAAAGCAATGGAAAACACATGAAAACACTATGATTATGTCAATGCACTACACAATCTTCAACCGTGCATCGCGATCCATCTAAGCTCCTCATCCCCGATGCACCGTTGCGGCCGGTGTCAATGATCATGTGGGGGACAAAGCCATTAATGCCTTTTGACATGGCCTCCCGCAAGTGAAGGGCATAGTTGAGCTCATTCTGCGAGGGGTTCCATTTGCTGATCAGTCCACACGGGTCCGCACAGCATTCATCATAGTTGTGCTGGCCACCCAAGCAGTAGTCATAAGTACCACAGGCTTTACCCAAATGCTGGTAGCCTGCCACATTGGATGCAAAACCACGGATATGGTCTGTGACATCAAGAGACCGAATCATTCTCACGAAGTCTTTCATATTGTTTTTCCATCCTAGCCATCCACCGTGACCAGCATCCAAATAGATGGCAGCATATGGGTCAGCGGCTTTCAAGGCTTTCACAGCATAGCTCACACCTCCCTTGTAAGCACTCTTTGTTGCCGAATTGCCACACCTAGGGTCACCCTGATTGGTAGAAAGGTTTGGCAAAGAGTCAGGCTCGATCACAAGCACAATGGGGACACGACCGGAGTATTTGGCAAGCACCGCAGCAATCTGATCAATGTACTCCTCCTTGTACTCTTTCAAACCTGCTGAGCACTGCCCGTCAGAGACATCTGTGTAGTCACACCTGCCATCCGCCTTGTACTTGCAGCAAATCTCGCCATTGGATGCTTTTGCATGACAATCGCGGTTGGGCAGGTCATACACAATGAAAACCACGAGTTCTGGGACAGGCTTGTTCAACGCATCCTCCAAAATGCCCTCCATGGAATCCGTCGTGCTGCCTGTGATCTTGGTCTTCCGGTCCAACCAATATGCTGAGGGGACATCCATCATTGCCTGCAAATTGGCCAGAATCTCCCCGTCGGCAGTGGCAATGCTGGTGCTCAAGGATTCTTTGTAGGAGGGGTTCACATAAAATGCCTTGTCTGCAAAAGGGTTGCCAGTACTGGGGATTGGGTTCCCACTGGTGGTGGAAACTTCTGTGGTAGAACCATCCGTTGATCCTGTGGTGGTGTCTTCTGCCGTAGTGGTCTCTCCCGGTTCGGTCGTGGTGGTTGATTCTTCAAATTGAAGATTGGCAAACTGAGCCAGTTGCTTCACTTGGTAGTCGAACCATTGCCCTGCTTCCGGTGCACGCGGCTCCCCATAGTGGCTACCAATGCTGTCCTGAGAGGCACAGTCCTCATCAAAACGGGGACATGTGCCACCGTCAGGCAAGGTTTCTGTGCAACCATCGGACTCACCTGGAGTCTTCAGCCAAAAGTAGGCATCCACCACGTCGGGGACGTCTGTGGCCGTTGATGCCACATGACCGACGCCAGCATTGCGAATGTTGCACCAATTCTTGCACTCGCTCCTGCATTGCACAGGACACTGCTTCCGCAGGGAAAAGACATATTCAAGGTCTTAATAGATTCTCATGAATCACAACCAGTGCAGGTTTAGAGTTTGGAGCAAAGGATACCCAGCCTAGTTACGGTGCAAACTGAGCAATGTAAGATAATGTATGATAATGTAAGAGAGCACCGGTAAAACATAGTATATTGCATATATAAAGCAATGGAAAACACATGAAAACACTATGATTATGTCAATGCACTACACAATCTTCAACCGTGCATCGCGATCCATCTAAGCTCCTCATCCCCGATGCACCGTTGCGGCCGGTGTCAATGATCATGTGGGGGACAAAGCCATTAATGCCTTTTGACATGGCCTCCCGCAAGTGAAGGGCATAGTTGAGCTCATTCTGCGAGGGGTTCCATTTGCTGATCAGTCCACACGGGTCCGCACAGCATTCATCATAGTTGTGCTGGCCACCCAAGCAGTAGTCATAAGTACCACAGGCTTTACCCAAATGCTGGTAGCCTGCCACATTGGATGCAAAACCACGGATATGGTCTGTGACATCAAGAGACCGAATCATTCTCACGAAGTCTTTCATATTGTTTTTCCATCCTAGCCATCCACCGTGACCAGCATCCAAATAGATGGCAGCATATGGGTCAGCGGCTTTCAAGGCTTTCACAGCATAGCTCACACCTCCCTTGTAAGCACTCTTTGTTGCCGAATTGCCACACCTAGGGTCACCCTGATTGGTAGAAAGGTTTGGCAAAGAGTCAGGCTCGATCACAAGCACAATGGGGACACGACCGGAGTATTTGGCAAGCACCGCAGCAATCTGATCAATGTACTCCTCCTTGTACTCTTTCAAACCTGCTGAGCACTGCCCGTCAGAGACATCTGTGTAGTCACACCTGCCATCCGCCTTGTACTTGCAGCAAATCTCGCCATTGGATGCTTTTGCATGACAATCGCGGTTGGGCAGGTCATACACAATGAAAACCACGAGTTCTGGGACAGGCTTGCTCAACGCATCCTCCAAAATGCCCTCCATGGAATCCGTCGTGCTGCCTGTGATCTTTCCTGAGTCGTGCAAACATGTGCAAACTATGTCTTTGAAAATTCCCTGGCCATGCCTGACATTGCCTCACTGCCTGCAGTTTCTACTTTTTGATCCTTGATCTTTGGCCTCAAGGGCTTAACTGCTTAACTTTTTTGGAATCCGGAATCCGCTCGCAACAGAAGTTTTTGCGCTCCGCCGAGTTTCCCTTGTTGTCCAACCAGTAGGCGGATGGGATGTCGCGCATGGACTCTAAGGTTCCCTTCACCTCTCCCGCTGTCGCGATGCTACTCTCCAACGATCTCCTGCCCCCGGGTTGCCATGGTGGCTTCGCCCAAGGCGCTGTGGCAGGCGGGCGCAGTGCATGTGGGTGTGCCCCAAGATTTGGGAGATTTACAGTATGACTGCATATAGGTCAATGAAATAAACAACCATCATTTCGGGCAGTATCAGCAGGTGGCCCAATATATTGCAGGTTTCAAGAACTGGACTCATTGGAGCCAACCAAAACTTTTTCCAGTGGTGCTGTCTATGCTACGACCTCCCAAGCAATCCAGTTGGCCTTTTTCGAGTTCCAAACATTTCTATGAACATGAGACCATCGCACCTATCGCAGCTATCGGAGCTATCGGACCATATCGGACCTATCCACCTCCCAACTGTGTCCAGCTGTATCCAACTGCGGGCGCCTGTAGCTAGGATTGACGTAGAACAGTTTTCCTTCGAAGGGATTGGACCCTGCGCTCAAGCGTCGCTGAGCCAGGCGGAAGAGATTGGCCGTTGACATCAAGGCAGGCTCATCCAGGACTCCTGGGAATGCTATCCCAAGACCCACCTTTTCAGATAGGAATAACGCCACAAAAATAACATATACAACCATCATATATAAATAAAATAGACAAAAGCAAAGAACAAAGTAAAATAGTAGAGACCTTTAAAGAAGAAGAATCCCTAAACATGCAGTGTTTCTTTCTGCAGAAGTGCGGTCTTCCTTTCAGAAAATTATTCGGCCTTCGTTCAATCATAAAGTATTTCTCTCAAAAATAAGAAGCACTATTCCTGCAAGAACTCTATTATATATAAATGTGGAAAACAATAAATGCATCCTTTGATGGAGTTATTTTTTATCATTTTTCTTCTATGACCATGTTTAAGGAAATACTTAATTTCTTGCAATACATCCTTTAATAAAATTCATATTTCATCGTTTTGTTTTTTCTGCCTGACATTTGTCTTTAAAAGTGATAGACCTTACTTTTCAAAATAATGTTGTCTATCTTGTTCAATCTTTTCACTCATATGGAAGGGCATATTGCATACATACAACCATGACCAGGGTTCAATTTCACAGTAATGTTTCTTTGTATTGTTGTGTGGTTTTCAATCAAATGGCTCACTCCCTTGTGAATGAGGCTTTGCACATACTGGCACCAACACTTTCTTTGGTTAAAATGGTTACTTAAATGATTCCATTCTATCGTAATGCTATCCTCCTTCCATAAATCAATTTACCTCTTTAAGAGAACTTTACACAACTGTAAGTCTCTTTGAGCATAGTTGTTGTATTCATTGCAAATGAAATGCTGCACTCCTTTATGGTTTTGCACAGCCGTAAGTCTCATTGAACATATTCCTTTCTTCTTCTTCTTCTTCTTTCAATGCTTGCGCCCTGTGCACCCGCTAAAGAGCTACGCCGGTGCACTGTCCATGGAAAAAATCCGCACCGGCCAGGCTGACAAGAATAAAGGTACAAAAATCGCAACGTGCATGAAAAAAGAAACGGAGGCATGCTGCCCTCCTCTATGTAAGGTGACTGTAAAGAATGATGTCACTGTATGCAAGGAATGATGAGGTTTTACGAAAGGAATGTCATGATTGTTGAAAAATACTCCTGCACAAGGCCCATATTGGAGGATGTTACTTTGACATTGTTATATTTTCTAGTCTTGGTTGTCTTGTATTTCATCCCATGTTTCTCGGAGGGTGCTCAAACCATTAAAAAAAAATGCACACCATGATGATGTCCATGAGAGGTGGCTGAGTAGACATGGTGTCTGATTTAACCTGCATACTTGCAAGTGTGTGCTTTGCTTACCAGCACAATTTAGAACTATGCAATATCTTGCTGCACCTACTGTTGCTAGATAATTATGCATCACAACAATGCCTGGAGAAAACGAAACAAACAACAAAACAGAACTCTTCAAAGAAAATTTGGTCTGAAGTTCATGCTTTGTCTTTTTGAATTTGGTTTCGCACCAGAAACAAAAACACATTTTTTTTTTGATAATATGCCGAACGGCCGGGCATTCGCAAGAAATTGCAATTTCTGGTGGCTGCAAGTGCTCTAAGTACCTGGATTCAAGATTTCTGGTGGCTCAGAAAAAACTTTTTGAATCCAACCTCCTTGGGTTCAAGATTCGAGGTTCAAAATTCAAGGTTTAGGAACAACTTTTTGAAACTAACCTCTCTGGGTTCAAGATCCAAGATGCAATATTCAAGGCTGAAGCACCCTTGGATTCAGTTTTTTTCTAGCTCTTGAATCTTCAATCTTGAACCCAGCCCCCCTTCGATTCAAAATTTGTTTTCTAGATCTCGAATCTTGAATCTTGGATCCGATGGACTTGGGCAATTTTTGATCCCTAGAAAAACCTGAAGATCTAAGTCAGAAATGTATGAAAAAATACTGTAAATACCGCGAACATTGACAAAAGGGTGGGTCTTGCAAGGGTATGTGTATATATATATATAATTATATTATATATATTATATATATATATTTGTATAACTCCAACTTAACATTACATTTGAGTTTCCAGGTCTCATGTTTCGTCTCAGCGGCAGGTTGGGCATGGCAAAAAATGCAGGTAATGAAACTTAGTATTAGATCCCAATTTTTGGTCAGTTAAATCCCATTCATGTTGGTAAAACGATCATCAACCGTCCAAACAATTTTGGCATGGTGGCTAAAAAAACCATCAATCCATAGTGGTTTATTGCTGCGTATTACTGGCATTACAAAATTGCAAAACCATCCCCAAAAAAAACAAACAAACCAAGGATTGCAACAGCTTCAGCAGCTCCAAATTTCGGCTCCTTCACTGGACTCCGCCGCATCTGCCACAGTGCCAATGAAGCTGGCCACCAACAGGCTGAGCAGTGCCGTCAGAAACGCCAGTGAGATCCTTGGCACCATCTCAATCCAGTTTTTGGTACAATGGAGGATTTTCAAAGAATTGTGATTGAATGGGATGTACGAAACACAAGATATGGTTTTAACTATAGTTTAATCCATAAATAATGTAATGTATTTATATGGAATTAGATTGGACGACTGGGAGGATTTCGGTTTTCTATGTAAAAAGGGTAGGGTTCAAGAACTGTCAAATAAAGGCATGACAAAAAACACATGTTGGTTTAGCTAATTCGATTAATTACCTAGACTAAGGGCTTCAATCGCTTCTACAGATAGTGATGATTCTGTCTGCAAAATGTGGGTCCTGTCGAGGAGCAATGAATTCTCAGAACTGGTATAAAAATCAAATGGGAAAGAACATGTGAGACCATTTCAAATCAAATTATAATGATCTATCTATCTATCTATCTAATCTAATCTGATCTAATCTAATCTTATCTGATCTAATCTAATCTGATCTAATCTAATCTAATCTGATCTAATCTTATATGATCTAATCTAATCTAATCTTATCTTATCTGGTCTAATCTAATCTAATCTTATCTTATCTAATCTATCGTATCTATCTATCTATCAATCAATCAACCAATCAATCAATCAATCAATCAATCTTATCAATCTTATCTATATTATCGATATTATCGATCTTATCTATCTTATCTGTCTAATTTATCTAATCTATCTAATCTATCTAATCTATCCAATCTATCGAATCTAATCTATCGAATCTATCTAATCTATCTAATCTATCTATCTATTTATCTATCTATCTATCTAGCTATCTATCTATCTATTTATCTATCTATCTATCTATCCATCCATCTAGTTCATCTAATCTATCTCATCTATCTAATCTATCTAATATAATCTATCTAATCTATCTAATCTATCCAATCTATCCAATCTATCCAATCTATCCAATCTATCCAATCTATCCAATCTATCTAATCTATCCAATCTATCCAATCTATCCAATCTATCTAATCTATCCAATCTATCCAATCTATCCAATCTATCCAATCTCTCTCATCAATCTAATCCATCTAATCTATCTAACCTATCTAACCTATCTAACCTATCTATCTATCTATCGATCTATCTAACCTATCTAACCTATCTAATCTATCTATCTATCTATCTATCTATTTATCATCTATCTATCTATCTATCTATATTCCTATCAATCCTATCGATCCTATCGATCCTATCCTATCCTATTCTATCCTATCTCTCCTATCCCCTATCCTATATATCCTTTCTATCCTATCCTTTCCTATGCTTCCTATCCTATCCTATCCTATCTATCCTGTCTGTCTGTCTCTGCGTCCGTCCGTCCGTCTGTCTATCTGTCTATCTATCTATCTATCTCTCTCTCTCTCTATGTAAGAAAAACTGAGAATGGTGACTCACCCAGGATGGCAAAGCCAAAATGTGTCTCTCTCTGGAAGTAAGTGCGGAAAAGTATTAAATCAAACATGAAGGCAATATTATATTTGTGTGTAAATCACATGGTTGCATTTGGTTGCATGTATACATGATTTTATGTTTGCACAATCTTCTTGTTTATGATATGACGACGATGATGACGACAACGAGGATGAGGATGAGGATGAGGATTAGGATGAGGATGGTGATGAGGATGAGGATGATGATGATGATGAAGATGATGAAACTTATGAAGATGATGAGTGAATATATAACATGATAACTAGTGGGGTAATCAGTAATAACATGTTGATGACTATTACTATGGCTATCAGTGTTACCATATTTCATGAAGACAATGATGATTGTCATCATGGTTGCTATTAACATTCTGACAATGGTGATGTTGCTAACGATATGCCATGAAACGACCCTGAGAACAAAGCAAAGGATAGGATATGGACCTATAAACAAATACACATACACGGGTACAATATATATATAATTATATATATAATTATATATAATTATATATATATACACATACATATGTGATATTGATGTCATAAGGATGCCATAAGGCCCTCCCTGTTGCGTTGAACATGGCTTCGCCGGGAGGCCCAAATCTGATCCAGCTGTTTCTGTGCCGGACCACAGGGGAATTCTCCTAGCGATTTTTCCAAAAAAATCCCATGAATCCATGTCCCCACTTACAGGCAGAAATGGATGCCTTGCTGGTCCAGAAAAAGTAAGGAACTTACTAATGCTGACCATCTATGAGCAGTGAAGTATATTGAAGTTCTTACACTTAAAATAACACTTCATCTTGACCAAGCAATTCGAAATTCAACCACCCAAACAGGGGATTCATTCCAATAAATCATTCAGCAACGAGAAAGTGGTTGTGCCAATGTGGGTCCATGGAGAGTCCAAGTCTACCAGCACCTCCCAACTGCCCCCATGGTCACCCGAATTTGCGTGCTTGTATTTTGCATGTTTTTTATTGTGCACTTTCGGCATTGTTCCTTTGTCATGCAATGCTCTTGCCTGACCGAATGTACTTTATATATATAGATAGATATATTATACAGATATATTATATATATATGTATTATATACACATGTAAATGCCTATATAATATGTGTATATATTATATATATATATATGTATATGCATGCAAAAGGGAACACATTGTACAAGTCCTGCTTCGACTTGCCAAGAACAGTTCCACAAAAACATTCCCAAATGGAAGCAACATCAAAGAAGCACACTTGAAAGCAAACCCAGTAGTGACTTAGTCGAAAACCGGAGGGTTCAATACTACAACAACATCAAAACAAGCTCAATTTGGCAAAAAAAGCAAGTTTGACTCATACTATCTCATGGAAGCAAATCAAGAGCATTCAAATTGACCACCCAAAAGTCCTCGCTGGCGATTCTGATATGCACCTTGAGGAAGTGGCTGTGCATTGACAAAGACTTATAGGGTGCAAGGGAAACGCGAGGAAAACCCTGATTTTGATCTGCAAAATGTCTTACACATGGGTGATGTACCTTGTCTTCTTATGTCTTCTTTGTAGCCCAACCCCTGCGCCGCCTCACCGCCATCATCAAAATGCGAGGGCGAGATTGACATTGCGTGGGCCCTCGTTCAGCCGTTCTTTCTCGGAAACGTTTGTCCCAAAAAAGGCTGCAGTAAGCGGATTGTAGCCTCGTGGCATCCTGACAAGAACTGACAAGTCTTCTGCATGGTTGTCAAAACATGTCAATTGTATTCAGTTTTCTTCCGCTGGGATTATTCCATGTTGTTCCATGTTATTCCATATTATTCCATGGGCAATCTGTCCCAAGGTTTGCAACTCATGATTCCCGGCTGTTTCACGTCCCACTGGGATCAGATACATCTCGCAGCATGGCCCTGTGGCTGTGGCAATGATGCGTTGCGCGCTGAAAACCTCAGGTGTCGTTGGCCAAATGGCGCTGGAAGAGTCCTCCATTTGCACATGGAGATTTCCCATTTTATGGGGGTACCCTGTTTAATCATCCATGTTCTTTTCGGATTTTCCCTTAAGAAACATTTATATAATTTATAAACCATCCATTTTGGGGATCTCCCATGACTATGGAAACCCCCAACGACCTCAACCCATGGCCTGAAGGGCCAGCGGCTGATCACACATCGCCTCGACTTGGACCTCGGCGTCTGGCATAGTCTGACCAGCATTGACACCAGGTTTCACCGTGACATCCACGAAGTGTTCAATCTTTAGGGCCATGAAAAGGGGCTTGGAATGGCTTGGAATGTGGGATTGCTGTGTGTTCCAGTTACAGATAGTTACAGTTATATCATGCGTAGACCACAACAAATCACCATCCTTCTGCTGGTTTCGTGGGCTGCCTGGTCTCCACTCCAAGTTCCAAGTCTTGCCATGTCACCAGGACCTCTGTAGCCTCCAACACCTGCAGTTTTCAAGGCAAAAAGACATCGAACTTGAGGATGTATTTCAGGCATGGGTTGCGTTTAGAATGTCACAATCAAAGATGGCGTCCCGACAGGACAAATGAAAACAGGGTAAATTAAACTAAACTATATTAAACTAAGCTTAGAAGATCTTGGAAGTGTACAACTGTATAACTGAGAATCCACCCATCAAGTTCCAGCCATGGACTTCCCCCTCATCACTGAGATCAAGGCGGAGATCATGAGTGCTAAGCTGGTTAGAAGGCTTGAAGTTCACCGTTCCAACAAATGAAATCTTCGAGCATTCATTGAGGGTTTGGCCAGGGCGCAGTGATGTTGAAGCTGGAGATGTGGCACATGGGAAGCTGCTCAATCCACAGCCCTCCGCGCCAGAGTCCAGTCACGCCGGTATACCTCGCTTGAAGCATGGTGAGGTGGAGGTGCCCTCTGGGAATCAAACGTGGCAAATGTGGCAATGGAAAATCCATTAAAAATGGAGGTTAAAAAACGGTTCAAATGGGAACATCATCTATACATGTTTGATTTTCAATTGCTACCTTTGATTACTGCAGCGTTAGTTCCTCTACAAGTAGATATTAGGGGGTTCCGCTTCCCAAACATGATCGAATCCTGTCGTAAAAAACAAATGAAGCACAGTGAAGTCTCCAAAGCCAAACAATAGAAAAACTGAAAAACTGTACAAGGAGAGTACCTAAATAAATTTAAATAAATTTGACATCCTTGAAATATAGGAACCCTATGGAACCCCCCCAAAACCACCCTGAGGTGCCAAATGCCAAGGTGCATAATGGATGCGGGCTTCAAAGACTGTTTGCCACGAGGCTGCCAGCCAGTTAAGCAACAGCCTTCACCTCGTGGCTGCACTCAGTGCCGTATATTTGGGGCCATCTTGGAACGATTGGAATGTCTGGATTTAGCCTATTCAGCTGATCAAGGCCATCATTTCCCATCCTGCTGCCAGGAGTCAAGGGATGGGCGGATGGTCCGTGAATTCACAACCGTCATCAGTGGGATCCCACGCTCGCACCAGCAACCACAGGTTGGTGTCGCACATCTCACCAAGCTTTGGTAGCCTGGGAAGCTGATGCTGGAGGTTGCTTTTAGTTAGTTGACATGTAAATGAAGAACCAAATGCCTTGAAAAAAGGCTTGTTTTATTGACATCAGGGCTGATAGTAAATACATAACGCAGGTACTTCCCTTGGAGTTACATGTGTCCGCTATGGTGCTCCTGTGTCTCCGGAAACCCACGGAAAACAATAAGATCAGAGAACGGGGAACGGGGTCCCATCTGACGAGATACGGCAAGGTAAAGGGGTCGTAGCCACCCTGATGGATGCCCAAGGGGATTCCATTCAAATAGAAGGCCTCGTTGTCACGAGGTCCGGGGACCTAAACCTTGTTACACCCTACACCCAAAAAGCGTTTTGTTTGGCCCAATAAGGCTTAAGTGCCACTACCAATGCACATAACAGATTCCAAACAAGTGTGGGGGTTTCATATTGATAGTTTTCAGGAGGGTGCCACCACGAACTATCTGCTAGCATCAGGGAATTGGTTGGGCAGGCTGTCCAAGCAAGCAAACCAGCAAATCCAGCAAACAAATCAAAATATATCAAAATGATACCTGGGGCCTTACAACTATAGCTGAAACATCAAAACTGCCACAGCGACGTAGCAGCGACATGGTGACATGTTCTTCATCAATGGATTGGTTTAAGGGAAACAAAAACCATGGTTTATTGTAGAATCTTGAATTATAATTATAGCTGATATAGAAGTACCCAATTGGTACTTCCAAAATAGAATATTGTAGATATTCCCTTCAACCCAGTGTTTCAAGTTCTTCCCCGAACGCATCCGAGGTATTCCGAGGTACGCATTCCCAGTCACAGGCGTCGACAGCCAGCTGCAAAGTGCCATCGCACCAAGTTCTATCCAGCTGTAGCCGCTTTCCTCAGCCCCGGGCCGTGCCCATTGCCACTCCAGTAGGATTATCGTCTAAGGGCAACGAGATTTCAATTCCAGTGACTACATGTGACTACCCTTGCAATTCCTGACGTAGCCTGATAATCCCTGAGATAATATTATTAGATGTTGATAATTTTTGATATACTGTATATATTTGTGTGATCTTAATTACATTTAATTACATCATCATACATCTACATGCCGAAATGCATCACAATACGTGTATAATGTACAACTTAGAAATCTTTTCGCCCACTCCGATGGCCAAGCTTCGGTACCACACTGCTTCCACAGCAGAGATTTTCGTCGCAAGGCCTGGCCCCAGCCGTCACCCGCCCCGTGTTTGATGCAATGTCGATTGATGTGCGTGCAGCGCCTCGGTAGGATTGGGGCGCAAACGGCACCTGGAGACTTTGCCACTCCTCCGTCAAATCTTGCAACGTCGCCTTGTGACGCAAATGGAGGCACAGTGCCACGACTGTGACTGTGGGTGCCATTCAGTTTATGGAAGCGAAAACTGAAAAAATGAAAGCGTGGACAAAAGCCATGGAAACAAGTTAAGCATTCACAAAGAATCATATCAAAAGAACACACACACACATATCATCGGGCTACATCAGGATGTAGCATATGCACGCATAATATGCATGTAATGCACGATTCAACCAACATTGACATTCTTTCGTCATGAATGGTGTCTTCTCTCCATGCCGAGCGAGGCACTGTATCTGCTGCCACCTGTACTTCCCAAGGGCCTGTGCGGGCACGGGCCCAATCGGGCTCATCATTCAACCTTTAGTAGGACCCAAGAATGGATAGAAAAAAAAGTCAAAAGGGGATTTCCGCATCAACAAAAAAAAGGGATTGACCAGTAGTACCCGAGGCGAGGCAAGGCGGTGCCCTAGGGTTATACAGATGTTGTTCACCTATAAAACTTGCATGCGCCGTGCGCCAGCGAGGCACGTTCTTGCCTTGTATATATATATAGTCTGCGCATGACCACGTTGCAATGCAACCCCAAGCGACACTTTGCATTCCAAAGGTCGCACTTCACTCTCCACACTCTATACTTCATACTTCACGCTTTACACTTCATTTCATCTCATCTCATCTCATCAAAGCTCATCTCATCTCTTCGCAAATGTCATCTAAGTTTTTCTCAATTCCCTTCATCTCATCTGAGCAATGCTCAAGCTTTAAGTGTTTACACACAGAAGCTTTGACACACAGCACGCTTTTACACACAGCAAACTTTTACACACAAAAGTTTTTACTGAGTGAGTTTTTACATGTGGACACCCTTACGCCACAGAGAAACTTTCAGACACATAATTTTTTACACACAAGTTTTTACACACAGCAAACGTTTATAAACAGCACACTTTTACACACAGAAACCTTTACACAAAGATGTTTTTACGCACAGAAGCTTTTACGCGCAATGGCACCAGAAATTACAGCTCCAAAACCGGATCTCGTCGCCGAAGCCAAAAGAAGACCAAAATTGAGAAAAATCTGCTGACAAATCAGCCATTCCAGTAAGATTTACGATGCCCAGCTGCAAAACACATCAGTATATAACGCGCACAGCCGCAGCAGCGAGGAACCTTTATGCTCTTACATTGCGATCTGCGGCGCCAAGTGGCAAACCCAATGTATGTCTACGCACATGTGGCAACAGAACGTGGCAACATTCGTGCAGCCATTGCACTGCGATCTGCCACCGCAGAGTCCAAAAACTGCGCGCAAACGAACAACTGCACGGTGCAAAACACCCGTAGGAACCAATCCACGTCAAAACGAACGGCCCTCACCCGTCGCACAAACGAGGTACCCTTTATCGCCGGCGTAAGGCACTTTACACGAAAAAACACAATGATCCGGCATCCACCCCAACGCAGGTCCCATGCAACATTCGTGCAGCCATGACATTGCGTTTTGCAACCTTAAGGGTTCCAAAACACCATGCGACTGCAATGTGCAGGAACATGCGAAACACATCAAAGCAGCCACTATAGTGCCGACTACTCCACTTCTTCAAGACACCACTTCACTCAGTCACTGACCTTAGTCACCACTTCTCTATAAAAGTCATCACTTCCACTTCACAAAGTCACCCCTTCCCAAAGTCACCACTTCAGAAAGTCACCACTTCCCTGAGTCACGACTTCCCTAAATCTTCACTTCCCGAAGTCACCACTTCCCTAAATCACCGCTTCCTAAAGTCACCACTTCCCAAAGTCACCACTTCCCTGAGTCATCGCTTCCCAAAGTCACCACTTCCCAAAGTCACCACATCCCAAAGTCACCACTTCCCTAAGTCATCACTTCTCTTAGGCACCACTTTTTACTTATTTATTCCGTAACTCGGAAGGTTGCTTCCCAACTTCCTTTGAATAGATATGAAATGATATACACTACAGAAAATGATTTTGAGCAACTCAATATGAGTTGGGTGTGACTAAAACAGACTATACCCTCACCTGGATATTTCAACAGGCATAATGCCGACTAAGGGGACAAACCCAATTTTTTCGCCTACCCTCGTGCTGTAAAATCCACCCCATTATTAATATAGCTCGATGCTTTTTCCAGAAACCTCCATTTAGTTCGGGGGATTTTCCATACCCCGAAGGACATCAGTGCAGAGTGGCCATTCAGCATCACGCGCTGCGGCTGCCCAGTTTCAACGCTGGGCGTTGCCGTGGACCACGCGACGGGTGAGGACAAGGGTGACGGCGGGCGAAGCCCCGGTGATGCTGTGAGTGCCAGCGCCCCGGCATCAATGGTCTGGCGCGATATATGGACAAAGGTTTCACCAAAATTTTGGAGGAAACCTGCCATCTTATTGGGGAGGATATAAATTGCGATTTTAGCAGCAAATTTAAAGATGGTTTTGGTATGTTTTGGTTGCAACGAAAATGAATGCCGCATTGCGAAGGTGGCATCCCCATTTCCAGATTTGTGGCAGGATGGCCTCAAGAAGATGCTATACATACAAATCATACAGCGCACATTTTCAAGCAGAATCTTCAACCAAATCCCGTGAGAATCTTTGGCATCCTGCAAATGGCAGTTGCAACAACACGTGACGGACGGGATGTGGTCGCAGCATTTTTTCACTTCAGCAAGGCTACATTGGGTTTCGCGAGGATCAATCAAGGGCAGCATTCAAGTCGGCAGAACGCAAGGGAGGGATATGCAAAAATGCAGAGAAGTATCTGCACTGACCCGCGCACAGCCTACAACCATTGTAGACAGGTCATGTTCAACTAGAGGCTCTTCATGCGCAAAGCGCATTGCCGCTTGCACCTACCCAGATCCAAGTTGTGAAGAAACTCCGCAACCAGAAAAGTTGCGGTCCAAATTGGAACCGTTCTTGTTGGTGGCTTCGGTTTGAATCGATGTCGACATGTGTCTGTCAGTTGATAGCTGGGAGTAGCACCAGTCTAGAGTATACACGGTGAAAATGGGTGAAAGATTATGAAACATATGATACGGGGAAATTACTTGACTTCGAGTGATCCCCACTCTGACAAATTATTCTCTCACAGCTTCTGGCATATCATCTGGAAGTATATAAGAGGTCTTCTCTACATTCCTTTTCCCGGATTCGGACAAAAATCACCCTCACTGCGTATTTACAGGACCCCGCCTTTGAAAGTTCAATTGCCCCAACAGACCTCAAACATGAGTGAAGAAAATTGTGAATGATTGATTTAGCTGGAGCTGCTGGAGCTACACTATCACACCTTGCATGGTTCCTTTGTTTCTAAGTAACAACGCAGACTCCATGGCCCGCATCCCAGTTGCTGCTACCAGCTGGAAGCAAACAGTGCCCTTGCGTTTTGAAGTATGGTGAGTTGACCAAAGGACAACTGCGTATTCTTGGGGCAATAGCGCGGATCTACCGCCAGAACTAGGTTTTTACGTTTAGCCTTCTATACAGGACCCCGCCTTCTAGTGAAATCCAAATACATCCCTGCCCAGATATTTGTGTCCTTTGGGTTTAAAAGTTCCCCATACATGCATTTTAGAGCGGATCTAAAATGGCAAAAATAATTACATACAAATTTAATAAATAAATAAATAAACAAATAAATATATAAAACATATAATATACTATGACATTCTATTTGACATTATCTCTGGCATTCTGTCCGGCATTCTGTCTGACATTTGATCTGACATATTTTCTGACGTTCTGACATTCTATGTGACATTGTCTCTGGCATTCTGTCCGGCATTCTGTCTGACATTTGATCTGACATATTTTCTGACGTTCTGACATTCTATCTGACATTGTCTCTGGCATTCTTTCTGGCATTCTATTCTATCTGACATTTTAGCTGACATATTTTCTAACATTCTATCTGGGATTCTACTTTCTGGTCTCTGTTCAGGTCCAGGCGTGCTCCACTGCATCCGGAGATTGCGCTTAAATCTAGAGACCCTCACCTGGCAGGTGGGGATCATGAAACATGATAAAAAAACAACATAAACAAAGGAATACCTGAGGCCACCAACCATGCAGCAATGAATTCTGCTGTGTCAGCTGCATTTCAGCATCTGGCACGATCTGCCCACCTACTGAAATAGGCGGCAAATCCTAGAAGCCTTCACGGCTCTCAATTTACCAATTTACCCTAGCATTGATATGGCCAGGCAGCGCGCGGTTTCTCCTCGCCCATGAGGTTCAAGAGAGTCTCCATGTCTGCCTCTGTGTTGCCTGGCTTGGGAACATCGATCACCTTCTTGAGCTGCTCCAAACTCTCGCGATTGGCCGCAATTTGATCCAAACTTTCCTTCAAAGGTTTCTGGGCAGTCTCTTCCTCCAATTCCTCCAAGCGGCGAGGGGGAATGCCTGCCACTGGATCATAGCCTGGGGAATTCCACAATTTTGCGACCTGCTGTTGAGCCTTGGGTGTCTTCAAGAAATGGCCGTAGCAGCAAGCCGCGTGCACCGCTGCGCCATAGGGTGCAATTGCGGCTGCGCCGGTAGTGATGGCAGCAATGGAACCGGCGCAAAGTGCATTGATATCCAAAAAGTCCTGAAGAAAAAACACGTGAGGATCTATCTGAAGATCTAGGATGACCTTGCAGCATTTCGGGGACTCTTGGACTGCGTCAAGGTCAACAGTGAGCGCTTCAAGTGCAGGGTGTCCATTTGTGTTTTGAACATGTTGAACATGACGCACTTCCATGTCAGCAAAGCATGTTTTGCCTATAATTATTCACAAATGCTTGATATTCTAGGTGCAACATGGTGCAACTGCAGGCCACCTGCTGGCCACCTGCTGGCCCCTGCTGGCTGCCTGCTGCCCAGTCGGTCCTGGCAGTGAAGCACAATGAGATTGATGAAGGTAACAACCTGACCGATGTAGGCCACAGCACCACCGATGTCGACGGTGCAAAGTGCTTCTGGGATGCCCTTGAGCACATTCATGGGGACGCGGAAAGTGCTTGCCTTGCACTTGTTCACATTCACGGCCTTGTTGATGGCAAGTCCCATGTTTGCGATGTTGGCTGCCACCATGCCCACATCCACACCACACTGCACACCGTTGCCGACTGGACCTTCTCCGATCAACAAACGTCGGCCATCCCGGACGGTCTGATCACCCAGGACGCTGATCTTCGTGGTGGTCAATTGTGGCGGAGTTCCGGTACATGTGGCCGCACCCAAAGAAGCTCCAGCTGCAATCTCCCCCAATCCTGACACCAAGCCGGTGATGCCTGCAGAGCAAATGGCGTCCACGTTGATGCTCAAGGCACAATTGGAAGCTGCCAAGGCCAGCTTGGTAGCAAGGTTTCCAACCCAAGCACCCAGGATGGCACCGTTCACCTGGCAAGCCAACTCAGACTCACCATCACGAGGTGGAGGGCAAGTGCGAATGATGGCATTGATGTCATCACCCATGCCAACTGCTGAGACAAATGCCTCTAAGATGTTGAAGACACATTCTTGCCTTCCAGCGAGCAGCCCTTTTGCTTTTGGCGGAATCCTTTCACCTTTCCTGGTTGATGAGCCACATCCGAAAGAAAACAAACAAAAATGGGACCATCAACCCAATTGGTTTGGATGAAACATCATCAAAAGATGCGAAGCAACCCCCTCCTCCCCCGAAAAAAAATAATGGTCCTTCATGGTCCTTCTATGTCCTTACCCTATTTTTCATGGTGACTATTGAAGTTAACTCATTTTCTCGGTGGTATTTGTGTTTCCCTTTCGGACCAGCGTCGGATGGTCGTCAGCGTGTCCAACTTGCGGATGTGGTGCTTCTCCCACTGGTCCCGCACCTTATGGCCCGCCTTCACCATGGTCTTCATGATCATCTCATCAGCCAACGTCTGGTTCTTCTGTGTGGCCTGGGCAGAACATAGGGCGGGTGAAGATGGACAAAAAATCAAAGGAGAAGAATTCAATGAACGCATGACATATTCTGAAATGCAAATTGCCATAAGTGACATGTCGCCTTAAGAATTAGTACTGTAATTCTCAAGTTCCAGCGGTTCCAGTATATACATCATTAATATGGATGTAAATTAAACGCAGCAGCTCGTGCCTGAATGAGCTTTTGACTCGTGGTGCGGACGGCAGCGTCCAAATCCAACGCAGACTTTCCTTGCAAGGCCCCAAGGTTGCTGCAGCTGCGGCTGAAGCCATTCGTGGACAGAGCAAAAATGCCAACACAAACGACCATAGCCTTGGATGGCTGCCATCCAGCAAGCCAATACAAAATAGAACATATATTTGAAAATATTTCTGAATATTCTAGTAACTTCCCCACTTCTGGTGGATCGACGACCGATGGGGAAAAAAGGTAGAAATAATATAGAGTAAAATAATGTAAAACATAATGGTAACATAATCAGCTAGTCCATGTCAATCCAAGTAGCAGCTGCCACTGCTAGAACCATCTTCTTCAACAGGGACCGCTTCGTTTGGAACGATTGGTCCTCAACGTCGCTCACAACGTTCACCCTGTCGAAATCGGACATGCTGACGGTCAGTGGCTTCCAAGCAGCCAGCAGGACCAAGGGAAAGCGCAAGAGATTTCTGAGCTATAATGGCTTTTGCAAAGTCCCGAGAAATTGCATTGAACTGCATTGCTTGATATTGCTTGATATATTGCTTGATATTGAGATATTGCTTGTGGCCGGAAAAAATTGCAAGAAATATGACCCCTCTGGTAGATCCCCTACGCACATGCATCATCCAACACGCTGTGATATCTGTCACGTTGGTATGTTGCGAACAGGCACGTCCAAACCCAACTCCAAAGCGACAGTTGATTTGAAACGCTAACAGCACTCGGGAGTAGCACCAGTCTCGAGTATACAGGGTGACAGTGGATGAAAGAAAATGAAACATTATGAAAAACCATATAGGCCAGCAACATTTTTTTTTGCCAGGGCCTCTCCAGGGTTTGCCCTCATTGTGCCCATGTTCATTCACGGGCTGGCACGCTTCCCAAACGTTTGCATGGGGAAAAAAACGACAATGTGAAGATTGATTCCAAGAACCAACCATGCAGCAATGAATTCTGCTGTGTCAGCTGCATTTCAGCATCTGGCACGATCTGCCCACCTACTGAAATAGGCGGCAAATCCTAGAAGCCTTCACGGCTCTCAATTTACCAATTTACCCTAGCATTGATATGGCCAGGCAGCGCGCGGTTTCTCCTCGCCCATGAGGTTCAAGAGAGTCTCCATGTCTGCCTCTGTGTTGCCTGGCTTGGGAACATCGATCACCTTCTTGAGCTGCTCCAAACTCTCGCGATTGGCCGCAATTTGATCCAAACTTTCCTTCAAAGGTTTCTGGGCAGTCTCTTCCTCCAATTCCTCCAAGCGGCGAGGGGGAATGCCTGCCACTGGATCATAGCCTGGGGAATTCCACAATTTTGCGACCTGCTGTTGAGCCTTGGGTGTCTTCAAGAAATGGCCGTAGCAGCAAGCCGCGTGCACCGCTGCGCCATAGGGTGCAATTGCGGCTGCGCCGGTAGTGATGGCAGCAATGGAACCGGCGCAAAGTGCATTGATATCCAAAAAGTCCTGAAGAAAAAACACGTGAGGATCTATCTGAAGATCTAGGATGACAGTGAGCGCTTCAAGTGCAGGGTGTCCATTTGTGTTTTGAACATGTTGAACATGACGCACTTCCATGTCAGCAAAGCATGTTTTGCCTATAATTATTCACAAATGCTTGATATTCTAGGTGCAACATGGTGCAACTGCAGGCCACCTGCTGGCCACCTGCTGGCCGCCTGCTGGCTGCCTGCTGCCCAGTCGGTCCTGGCAGTGAAGCACAATGAGATTGATGAAGGTAACAACCTGACCGATGTAGGCCACAGCACCACCGATGTCGACGGTGCAAAGTGCTTCTGGGATGCCCTTGAGCACATTCATGGGGACGCGGAAAGTGCTTGCCTTGCACTTGTTCACATTCACGGCCTTGTTGATGGCAAGTCCCATGTTTGCGATGTTGGCTGCCACCATGCCCACATCCACACCACACTGCACACCGTTGCCGACTGGACCTTCTCCGATCAACAAACGTCGGCCATCCCGGACGGTCTGATCACCCAGGACGCTGATCTTCGTGGTGGTCAATTGTGGCGGAGTTCCGGTACATGTGGCCGCACCCAAAGAAGCTCCAGCTGCAATCTCCCCCAATCCTGACACCAAGCCGGTGATGCCTGCAGAGCAAATGGCGTCCACGTTGATGCTCAAGGCACAATTGGAAGCTGCCAAGGCCAGCTTGGTAGCAAGGTTTCCAACCCAAGCACCCAGGATGGCACCGTTCACCTGGCAAGCCAACTCAGACTCACCATCACGAGGTGGAGGGCAAGTGCGAATGATGGCATTGATGTCATCACCCATGCCAACTGCTGAGACAAATGCCTCTAAGATGTTGAAGACACATTCTTGCCTTCCAGCGAGCAGCCCCTTTTGCTTTTGGCGGAATCCTTTCACCTTTCCTGGTTGATGAGCCACATCCGAAAGAAAACAAACAAAAATGGGACCATCAACCCAATTGGTTTGGATGAAACATCATCAAAAGATGCGAAGCAACCCCCTCCTCCCCCGAAAAAAAATAATGGTCCTTCATGGTCCTTCTATGTCCTTACCCTATTTTTCATGGTGACTATTGAAGTTAACTCATTTTCTCGGTGGTATTTGTGTTTCCCTTTCGGACCAGCGTCGGATGGTCGTCAGCGTGTCCAACTTGCGGATGTGGTGCTTCTCCCACTGGTCCCGCACCTTATGGCCCGCCTTCACCATGGTCTTCATGATCATCTCATCAGCCAACGTCTGGTTCTTCTGTGTGGCCTGGGCAAAACATAGGGCGGGTGAAGATGGACAAAAAATCAAAGGAGAAGAATTCAATGAACGCATGACATATTCCGAAATGCAAATTACCATACTGTAATTGACATGTCGCCATAAAATTTAGTACTGTAATTCTCAAGTTCCAGCGGTTCCAGTATATACATCATTAATTAATATGGATGTAAACCGTTTGCGGCAGCTCGTGCCTGAATGAGCTTTTGACTCGTGGTGCGGACGGCAGCGTCCAAATCCAACGCAGACTTTCCTTGCAAGGCCCCAAGGTTGCTGCAGCTGCGGCTGAAGCCATTCGTGGACAGAGCAAAAATGCCAACACAAACGACCATAGCCTTGGATGGCTGCCATCCAGCAAGCCAATACAAAATAGAACATATATTTGAAAATATTTCTGAATATTCTAGTAACTTCCCCACTTCTGGTGGATCGACGACCGATGGGGTAAAAAGTAGAAATAATATAGAGTAAAATAATGTAAAACATAATGGTAACATATGGTAACATAATCAGCTAGTCCATGTCAATCCAAGTAGCAGCTGCCACTGCTAGAACCATCTTCTTCAACAGGGACCGCTTCGTTTGGAACGATTGGTCCTCAACGTCGCTCACAACGTTCACCCTGTCGAAATCGGACATGCTGACGGTCAGTGGCTTCCAAGCAGCCAGCAGGACCAAGGGAAAGCGCAAGAGATTTCTGAGCTATAATGGCTTTTGCAAAGTCCCGAGAAGTTGCATTGAACTGCATTGCTTGATATTGCTTGATATATTGCGTGATATTGAGATATTGCTTGTGGCCGGAAAAAATGGCAAGACATATGACCCCTCTGGCTAGATCCCTACACACATGCATCATCCAGCACGCTTGTGATATCTGTCACGTTGGTATGTTGCGAACAGGCACGTCCAAACCCAATGTCCCGCCTGCACTCCAAAGCGACAGTTGATTTGAAACGCTAACAGCACCCGGGAGTAGCACCAGTCTCCAGTATACAGGGTGACAGTGGATGAAAGAAAATGACACATATATTGAACAATCACGGAACATTCTGAAAAACCAAGGGATACCCTGTAGGCCTCTCCAGGGTTTGCCCTCATTGTGCCCATGTTCATTCACGGGCTGGCACACTTCCCAAACGTTTGCATGGGAAAAAAAACGACAATGTGAAGATTGATTCCAAGAACCAACCAGCAGCAATGAATTCTGATGTGTCAGCTGCATTTCAGCATCTGGCACGATCTGCCCACCTCCTGAAATAGGCGGCAAATCCTAGAAGCCTTCACGGCTCTCAATTTACCAATTTACCCTAGCATTGATATGGCCAGGCAGCGCGCGGTTTCTCCTCGCCCATGAGGTTCAAGAGAGTCTCCATGTCTGCCTCTGTGTTGCCTGGCTTGGGAACATCGATCACCTTCTTGAGCTGCTCCAAACTCTCGCGATTGGCCGCAATTTGATCCAAACTTTCCTTCAAAGGTTTCTGGGCAGTCTCTTCCTCCAATTCCTCCAAGCGGCGAGGGGGAATGCCTGCCACTGGATCATAGCCTGGGGAATTCCACAATTTTGCGACCTGCTGTTGAGCCTTGGGTGTCTTCAAGAAATGGCCGTAGCAGCAAGCCGCGTGCACCGCTGCGCCATAGGGTGCAATTGCGGCTGCGCCGGTAGTGATGGCAGCAATGGAACCGGCGCAAAGTGCATTGATATCCAAAAAGTCCTGAAGAAAAAACACGTGAGGATCTATCTGAAGATCTAGGATGACAGTGAGCGCTTCAAGTGCAGGGTGTCCATTTGTGTTTTGAACATGTTGAACATGACGCACTTCCATGTCAGCAAAGCATGTTTTGCCTATAATTATTCACAAATGCTTGATATTCTAGGTGCAACATGGTGCAACTGCAGGCCACCTGCAGGCCACCTGCTGGCCACCTGCTGGCCGCCTGCTGGCTGCCTGCTGCCCAGTCGGTCCTGGCAGTGAAGCACAATGAGATTGATGAAGGTAACAACCTGACCGATGTAGGCCACAGCACCACCGATGTCGACGGTGCAAAGTGCTTCTGGGATGCCCTTGAGCACATTCATGGGGACGCGGAAAGTGCTTGCCTTGCACTTGTTCACATTCACGGCCTTGTTGATGGCAAGTCCCATGTTTGCGATGTTGGCTGCCACCATGCCCACATCCACACCACACTGCACACCGTTGCCGACTGGACCTTCTCCGATCAACAAACGTCGGCCATCCCGGACGGTCTGATCACCCAGGACGCTGATCTTCGTGGTGGTCAATTGTGGCGGAGTTCCGGTACATGTGGCCGCACCCAAAGAAGCTCCAGCTGCAATCTCCCCCAATCCTGACACCAAGCCGGTGATGCCTGCAGAGCAAATGGCGTCCACGTTGATGCTCAAGGCACAATTGGAAGCTGCCAAGGCCAGCTTGGTAGCAAGGTTTCCAACCCAAGCACCCAGGATGGCACCGTTCACCTGGCAAGCCAACTCAGACTCACCATCACGAGGTGGAGGGCAAGTGCGAATGATGGCATTGATGTCATCACCCATGCCAACTGCTGAGACAAATGCCTCTAAGATGTTGAAGACACATTCTTGCCTTCCAGCGAGCAGCCCCTTTTGCTTTTGGCGGAATCCTTTCACCTTTCCTGGTTGATGAGCCACATCCGAAAGAAAACAAACAAAAATGGGACCATCAACCCAATTGGTTTGGATGAAACATCAAAAGATGCGAAGCAACCCCCTCCTCCCCCGAAAAAAAATAATGGTCCTTCATGGTCCTTCATGGTCCTTCTATGTCCTTACCCTATTTTTCATGGTGACTATTGAAGTTAACTCATTTTCTCGGTGGTATTTGTGTTTCCCTTTCGGACCAGCGTCGGATGGTCGTCAGCGTGTCCAACTTGCGGATGTGGTGCTTCTCCCACTGGTCCCGCACCTTATGGCCCGCCTTCACCATGGTCTTCATGATCATCTCATCAGCCAACGTCTGGTTCTTCTGTGTGGCCTGGGCAAAACATAGGGCGGGTGAAGATGGACAAAAAATCAAAGGAGAAGAATTCAATGAACGCATGACATATTCCGAAATGCAAATTACCATACTGTAATTGACATGTCGCCATAAAATTTAGTACTGTAATTCTCAAGTTCCAGCGGTTCCAGTATATACATCATTAATTAATATGGATGTAAACCGTTTGCGGCAGCTCGTGCCTGAATGAGCTTTTGACTCGTGGTGCGGACGGCAGCGTCCAAATCCAACGCAGACTTTCCTTGCAAGGCCCCAAGGTTGCTGCAGCTGCGGCTGAAGCCATTCGTGGACAGAGCAAAAATGCCAACACAAACGACCATAGCCTTGGATGGCTGCCATCCAGCAAGCCAATACAAAATAGAACATATATTTGAAAATATTTCTGAATATTCTAGTAACTTCCCCACTTCTGGTGGATCGACGACCGATGGGGAAAAAAGGTAGAAATAATATAGAGTAAAATAATGTAAAACATAATGGTAACATAATCAGCTAGTCCATGTCAATCCAAGTAGCAGCTGCCACTGCTAGAACCATCTTCTTCAACAGGGACCGCTTCGTTTGGAACGATTGGTCCTCAACGTCGCTCACAACGTTCACCCTGTCGAAATCGGACATGCTGACGGTCAGTGGCTTCCAAGCAGCCAGCAGGACCAAGGGAAAGCGCAAGAGATTTCTGAGCTATAATGGCTTTTGCAAAGTCCCGAGAAATTGCATTGAACTGCATTGCTTGATATTGCTTGATATATTGCTTGATATTGAGATATTGCTTGTGGCCGGAAAAAATTGCAAGAAATATGACCCCTCTGGTAGATCCCCTACGCACATGCATCATCCAACACGCTGTGATATCTGTCACGTTGGTATGTTGCGAACAGGCACGTCCAAACCCAACTCCAAAGCGACAGTTGATTTGAAACGCTAACAGCACTCGGGAGTAGCACCAGTCTCGAGTATACAGGGTGACAGTGGATGAAAGAAAATGAAACATTATGAAAAACCATATAGGCCAGCAACATTTTTTTTTGCCAGGGCCTCTCCAGGGTTTGCCCTCATTGTGCCCATGTTCATTCACGGGCTGGCACGCTTCCCAAACGTTTGCATGGGGAAAAAAACGACAATGTGAAGATTGATTCCAAGAACCAACCATGCAGCAATGAATTCTGCTGTGTCAGCTGCATTTCAGCATCTGGCACGATCTGCCCACCTACTGAAATAGGCGGCAAATCCTAGAAGCCTTCACGGCTCTCAATTTACCAATTTACCCTAGCATTGATATGGCCAGGCAGCGCGCGGTTTCTCCTCGCCCATGAGGTTCAAGAGAGTCTCCATGTCTGCCTCTGTGTTGCCTGGCTTGGGAACATCGATCACCTTCTTGAGCTGCTCCAAACCTCATCTCTCAAAAAAAAAAAAAGATTGCCGCATTTGATTCCAACTTTCCTCACAGGTTCTGGCATCTCTTTCCTCTCCTCTCCAATTCCTCCAAGCGGCGAGGGGGAATGCCTGCCACTGGATCATAGCCTGGGGAATTCCACAATTTTGCGACCTGCTGTTGAGCCTTGGGTGTCTTCAAGAAATGGCCGTAGCGGCAAGCCGCGTGCACCGCTGCGCCATAGGGTGCAATTGCGGCTGCGCCGGTAGTGATGGCAGCAATGGAACCGGCGCAAAGTGCATTGATATCCAAAAAGTCCTGAAGAAAAAACACGTGAGGATCTATCTGAAGATCTAGGATGACCTTGCAGCATTTCGGGGACTCTTTGGACTGCGTCAAGGTCAACAGTGAGCGCTTCAAGTGCAGGGTGTCCATTTGTGTTTTGAACATGTTGAACATGACGCACTTCCATGTCAGCAAAGCATGTTTTGCCTATAATTATTCACAAATGCTTGATATTCTAGGTGCAACATGGTGCAACTGCAGGCCACCTGCTGGCCACCTGCTGGCCGCCTGCTGGCCGCCTGCTGGCTGCCTGCTGCCCAGTCGGTCCTGGCAGTGAAGCACAATGAGATTGATGAAGGTAACAACCTGACCGATGTAGGCCACAGCACCACCGATGTCGACGGTGCAAAGTGCTTCTGGGATGCCCTTGAGCACATTCATGGGGACGCGGAAAGTGCTTGCCTTGCACTTGTTCACATTCACGGCCTTGTTGATGGCAAGTCCCATGTTTGCGATGTTGGCTGCCACCATGCCCACATCCACACCACACTGCACACCGTTGCCGACTGGACCTTCTCCGATCAACAAACGTCGGCCATCCCGGACGGTCTGATCACCCAGGACGCTGATCTTCGTGGTGGTCAATTGTGGCGGAGTTCCGGTACATGTGGCCGCACCCAAAGAAGCTCCAGCTGCAATCTCCCCCAATCCTGACACCAAGCCGGTGATGCCTGCAGAGCAAATGGCGCCCACGTTGATGCTCAAGGCACAATTGGAAGCTGCCAAGGCCAGCTTGGTAGCAAGGTTTCCAACCCAAGCACCCAGGATGGCACCGTTCACCTGGCAAGCCAACTCAGACTCACCATCACGAGGTGGAGGGCAAGTGCGAATGATGGCATTGATGTCATCACCCATGCCAACTGCTGAGACAAATGCCTCTAAGATGTTGAAGATCGACACATTCTTGCCTTCCAGCGAGCAGGCTCTTTTGCTTTTGGCGGAATCCTTTCACCTTTCCTGGTTGATGAGCCACATCCGAAAGAAAACAAACAAAAATGGTACCATCAAACCAATTTGTTTGGATGAAACATCACCAAAAGATGCGAAGCAAACTCCCCCCCCAAAAAAAAACAAAATAGTAGTCCTTCCATGTCCCTACCCTACTGTTCATGGTGACTATTGAAGTTAACTCATTTTCTCGGTGGTATTTGTGTTTCCCTTTCGGACCAGCGTCGGATGGTCGTCAGCGTGTCCAACTTGCGGATGTGGTGCTTCTCCCACTGGTCCCGCACCTTATGGCCCGCCTTCACCATGGTCTTCATGATCATCTCATCAGCCAACGTCTGGTTCTTCTGTGTGGCCTGGGCAGAACATAGGGCGGGTGAAGATGGACAAAAAATCAAAGGAGAAGAATTCAATGAACGCATGACATATTCTGAAATGCAAATTGCCATAAGTGACATGTCGCCTTAAGAATTAGTACTGTAATTCTCAAGTTCCAGCGGTTCCAGTATATACATCATTAATATGGATGTAAATTAAACGCAGCAGCTCGTGCCTGAATGAGCTTTTGACTCGTGGTGCGGACGGCAGCGTCCAAATCCAACGCAGACTTTCCTTGCAAGGCCCCAAGGTTGCTGCAGCTGCGGCTGAAGCCATTCGTGGACAGAGCAAAAATGCCAACACAAACGACCATAGCCTTGGATGGCTGCCATCCAGCAAGCCAATACAAAATAGAACATATTTGAACATTTCTCCTAATATTCTAGTATATTCCCCACTTCTGGTGGATCGACGACCAATGGGGAAAAAAGGTAGAAATAATATAGAGTAAAATAATGTAAAACATAATGGTAACATAATCAGCTAGTCCATGTCAATCCAAGTAGCAGCTGCCACTGCTAGAACCATCTTCTTCAACAGGGACCGCTTCGTTTGGAACGATTGGTCCTCAACGTCGCTCACAACGTTCACCCTGTCGAAATCGGACATGCTGACGGTCAGTGGCTTCCAAGCAGCCAGCAGGACCAAGGGAAAGCACAAGAGATTTCTGAGCTATAATGGCTTCTTCAAAGTCCCGAGAAATTGCATTGAACTGCATTGCCTGATATTGCTTGATACATTGCGTGATATTGAGATATTGCTTGTGGCCGGAAAAAATGCAAGAAATATGACCCCTCTGGTAGATCCCCTACACACATGCATCATCCAGCACGCTTGTGATATCTGTCACTTTGGTATGTTGCGAACAGGCACGTCCAAACCCAATGTCCCGCCTGCACTCCAAAGCGACAGTTGATTTGAAACGCTAACAGCACTCGGGAGTAGCACCAGTCTCCAGTATACAGGGTGACGGTGGATGAAAGAAAATGACACATATATTGAACAATCACGGAACATTCTGAAAAACCAAGGAATACCCTGTAGGCCTCTCCAGCGTTTGCCCTCATTCTGCCCATGTTCATTCACGGGCTGGCACACTTCCCAAATGTTTGCATGGGGAAAAAAACGACAATGTGAAGATTGATTCCAAGAACCAACCAGCAGCAATGAATTCTGATGTGTCAGCTGCATTTCAGCATCTGGCACGATCTGCCCACCTACTGAAATAGGCGGCAAATCCTAGAAGCCTTCACGGCTCTCAATTTACCCTAGCATTGATATGGCCAGGCAGCGCGCGGTTTCTCCTCGCCCATGAGGTTCAAGAGAGTCTCCATGTCTGCCTCTGTGTTGCCTGGCTTGGGAACATCGATCACCTTCTTGAGCTGCTCCAAACTCTCGCGATTGGCCGCAATTTGATCCAAACTTTCCTTCAAAGGTTTCTGGGCAGTCTCTTCCTCCAATTCCTCCAAGCGGCGAGGAGGAATGCCTGCCACTGGATCATAGCCTGGGGAATTCCACAATTTTGCGACCTGCTGTTGAGCCTTGGGTGTCTTCAAGAAATGGCCGTAGCGGCAAGCCGCGTGCACCGCTGCGCCATAGGGTGCAATTGCGGCTGCGCCGGTAGTGATGGCAGCAATGGAACCGGCGCAAAGTGCATTGATATCCAAAAAGTCCTGAAGAAAAAACACGTGAGGATCTTTCTGAAGATCTAGGATGACCTTGCAGCATTTCGGGGACTCTTTGACTGCGTCAGGTCAACAGTGAGCGCTTCAAGTGCAGGGTGTCCATTTGTGTTTTGAACATGTTGAACATGACGCACTTCCATGTCAGCAAAGCATGTTTTGCCTATAATTATTCACAAATGCTTGATATTCTAGGTGCAACATGGGCAACTGCAGGCCACCTGCTGGCCGCCTGCTGGCTGCCTGCTGCCCAGTCGGTCCTGGCAGTGAAGCACAATGAGATTGATGAAGGTAACAACCTGACCGATGTAGGCCACAGCACCACCGATGTCGACGGTGCAAAGTGCTTCTGGGATGCCCTTGAGCACATTCATGGGGACGCGGAAAGTGCTTGCCTTGCACTTGTTCACATTCACGGCCTTGTTGATGGCAAGTCCCATGTTTGCGATGTTGGCTGCCACCATGCCCACATCCACACCACACTGCACACCGTTGCCGACTGGACCTTCTCCGATCAACAAACGTCGGCCATCCCGGGCGGTCTGATCACCCAGGACGCTGATCTTCGTGGTGGTCAATTGTGGCGGAGTTCCGGTACATG